AAAGAGAAGAGAGAAGAGAGAAGAGAAGAGAAGAGAAGAGAAGAGAAGAGAAGAGAAGAGAAGAGAAGAGAAGAGAAGAGAAGAGAAAAGAAAAGAAAAACCTACCTATGGAAAAGTCAAACATTAAGTGATGGCATTTCTTTGTCCTATCTGGACCAATGAAAAAAAGAAAAAAATGCCACATCTAAATACTGCAATCTCATTACTTACCTAAGCCAGGCTTCCTCAGTCTGGTGCACTCCAAATATGTTTAACTAGAGCACCCATCATCCTTAGCCAGCATTCAACATAACTGGAAGGTACAAGGCTTGAGAAGCCATGTTATAAAACTACAAAGTTTTTCTAGGGTAGCATGCAGAATCTGCCAGACTATTAACTATGCAGGTATAAAAGGAAGGGAGATTGAACACTCAAATGGTGAATTTTACATTGCTAGTTTTCCCAGAAATGGGCAAGGTGCAGCTGACAAATGCATCCAGTTTTTCAATGGGGTACAGAAAGTGAATTTGTATGTTAAACCACGATGTCTCTCAATACATACCGTAAAGGCTCTGGACAAGGGCATTTCCCTTCCAACATGTCACAAACAGCGATGCGAATAGTCTCATGTCGAATGCATTCATTGTAATTTTTACTGTCTCCTGGATGCCTTTCCTACAAAAGAACAACTGCTGAGTACCTCTCCACTTAAGACATACAAACAGAAAAATAATTATTTACAACATACCCCACCACCGATGTAGTCCAACTATAATTAAAATGATCAATTCAGCTAAAACCAAAATAAAAACTGAATACAGTAAAATCAATATACGTCAAGATGTATTTATGGTCACCATAAAATAACATACAGTTTTATATAATGAAAAAGCTCACACCTATAACCTATTAATCAGACTTCACGAATACACTTACAACAGGATGGCCCTATCTTCTAATTTTATTACTGCCAGTCTCAATCCTGTTCACGATTGCTCCCATCAATCAATCTAGATTATTAAATAGATAGGTTAAGTATGTCTTAAATGTGTCCAAAAATTAGTGGGACCAGAATAGGAAAGGAACAGAATTCCATAATCAGTGACCCATGCAAAGGGGATGAAGCAACATAAGGAGAAGCAACAGAAAGGACCCCCTATCCTGCTGATCATATTGTATATTTAGGAGCATGCCAGGACAGGAGCCGGGACAGGTAATGTGAATGGCTAGCCACAGGGCCTTCAACACTACCACCAAAAGCTTAAATGGGGTTCCAACCCTAAGAGGAAACTAGTCTAAGACCTGATGAGAAAATATGGGAAAAATGAGGGAGGGAGGGAGGGAAGAAGAGTCCACAGATGGTTGCAGTAGTTTAGGCAAGAAACGCCAGGGCCTGAACTGTGCTGGTGAATGGGCAGGAATGGCCAGGTTAATGCGATATTCAATAAATGAAGATGGCAGGCCTATACTGTTCAGTTGCTGCTATAAACAGATAAAGTGCATCTTCTAACAAGACTCTGAGGTTCCTGGCCACCAACACCGGAGCCGGTGCACAGCCCTGCAGGAGAAAAAAACACAGCCTACAGAAAAGATAAGCGATATGTCTGCAATTATATCCCTTGCCCCATATCAGGTAAAATTATTTTAATTAAAAAAAAAATGAGAGCATGATATGCTGGAAAAACAAAGCACCAGATATCAATGGTATCATCCTTCCAAGAAAACCTCTGGGCTCCATAGGCAACCTTAAAAAATAACAACAGTAGATGGCTATAACACAGCCTTTTGTTTGGAAAGTGCCCCTTTGCCCAGAAAAAAAAGGATAAAAGTAAGCTCGGATGGTAGAGAGTATCTTAGAATTTTAAAGGGAGTGTCAGGGAGTAACTTCACCAGTTCCTCCTGATAAATAGGTATTTTGTAACAGGTCATTCTCACCATGGTGATCACTTTGTAAATACAGAAGTGCCCCACCTTCTCTGACAGTTTGGGAGAATACCCATAATAGAATCCCTGGGGTTCTCTGAGCTTGGTTGTTTTCTTGCAGACGTTTCATTACCTGACTAGGTAACATCTTCAGTGCTAGAAGGGAGTGGGGTTTGCTCTCTGTTTATATACAGTGGTTTGCCCTGTCAGTGTTGGGTTTTTTTTCTTGGTAGTTCCTAGATTAGGCTGTTGTTTACTGCTTGATTGTTTGTCTGGTGTTAACCTGTTATTAATCCCTGCTTATCTGGGTGTTGATTGCCGGCAAGGAGGTGTTCTGGACTTTTTGCATCCATTTTATGGTCTCTTTTGAATGGTGTGTAAATGTTTATCTCTTTGTGCCTGTTGACGTCTGACTTGTCTGAATACCAAACTTTAAGGAATTCCTTCATGTTTTTGGATTTAGCTTGGTCTAAGATGCTGACAGTTTCCCAGTTGAAACTATGGTTGAGTCTGTCCATGTGTGGTGAGATTAAGGAGTTTTCATCGTGTCTTCTGATTGCTAGCTGGTAGATAGATAGATGCGCTCTGCTAGTCTTCTGCCTGTCTGTCCTACATAGTGGCTGTTACAGTCCTTACACTGTATGTTGTAGATGACTCCTGTTTTTTCTTCTTTAACACCATGATTAACACCAGACAAACAATCAAGCAGT